TTTTTGCTCTTAATTCTTTGTTTAACTCGTTTTCTGTGTTTACAATGGCAAATAAATCTATCAGGTTTTTTAGACAATTTAAAAAATTCTCATATAAAGTATAAATTCTTGTTATAAAGCTTCTTTTTTTAAGCAAAGTGGTTGCTACAACATGTTTTTTTTTTTTGCAAATATCTCTGATTTAGTTTATAGTTTTTTGTTTTGTTTTTTGTGTCCATTTTTATTTTGTTTAGGTTTGTGTCAAGTTCAAAAACCTTTTTTGTCGAAAAAAATCCATCCTCTATACACCCTATTAAGAAAAGTTCTCATACATAATAAAATACAGGGGAGCAGCCAGACAGACAGACAGTTAAATAAACCAACCAAACGACGACGGCAGTCAGGCAGACAAGCCAACCGAGAAAAAAAGGACAGACAAAGCAAAACAAAACCAAGAAAATATAACAACAGCAAATAATTTAAGTGCATATTGCAAAAATGAAAATAATAGGGTTCTTGAACCTTTCATTATGACGACACGTTTAACGATGTTTGTTGGTCATTTTGCAAAAAGAGAATTAAGGCATTAGTTTGCACAAAAAAGTATATATTAATTGATATTTTAAATAGAAATCATTGAACTCTTTTATAACTTGTTGATTTTGAGCAGTTATTAATTTAAGGGTTTAAAGAAATTTGGTTCCCAAAACAGAGAAAGACATTAAATGATTTTAAGCGATTTTTTATTTTATTAATATTAGCATCATTTGAAATACAACTGAATAAGAAATCTGGCAACACTACTGAAATAGTGCTTTACCGTTAAAAATGCCGCCTTGTATGTATATTACTTTTTCACTAGTGTTGCCAACTAGAACCAACTAAAATATGCCAAAATATATTAAAAATTCTCTTAAATTGTATAGAAAACTATGTACAATTTAAAGTTAACATTATTTTTATTATTAAATTGAAGAAAACTATATTTTCTTTTACATTTTTGTTAAATAATTGCTGAAAGTTAGATATTCTTTTATACATATTAAGAAATTTCCACAATTATGTAGTTTTATTTGTTCTACTATTCCTTGTGTTTATTTTAAAATGTCAATAATTTTAATAATTATATTTTCGCGCTTAATTTTTATATAATTTCAAACATTCTTAAAACAATTTCTTGGCCGTTGATATTGTGATTTTTGCTGCAGTTTAGTTGGTAGTTTGTTGTGTAAAAATAAAAACCACCATAAATCGCTTAAGAATGCAGTTAAACAAGTTTATTTAAGCCGCTTTTTTTAGTTTGCAAGATTTTCTTCGGTGTTGTGTAGCTTTTTTTATGCATTACAACCCAAAGAATCATCATCATTATAATTTTTATTTTCTTTCAACAACACACTAAAAAGCAAGAAAATGTTCAAGATTGCAAGTCGTCGCAGCTATTCTAATGCTAGCCAGCAGCTTGTTGTGGGTTTTTGTAGTATGTGTTGCATGTTTGTGGTGGCTGGCTGCTGTTGTTGGGTGATGATGATCATCATCATGATAATGATGATGGTAGATTGTTGTATACAATAAAATTTATTTATTTTTACATTTTTATACAATTCAATGATGCTTACTGGCTGTTGTGTTGTGTGCTGCAAAATAATAACTAACATTCCTACACAATTGCATACCAAACAAGTCATTGAGCTAAAAAGAAAATAAAACAAGACGACACCAACCAGGCTCCAGACAGACGGACAATTGAATAGAGAGTAAAACTAATAAGAAAAAATAAGAAAATCCTAGAAAAAAAGACTACACAACAACTATAAAACAAAAATAAATTATAATTTATTGTTTAGCCAGGCACAAAACCAACCAACCAGCGAAAAATAGCCATGAAACACATGCAACACATACGAAAACAGTGAGGCCAAAAAATATTTTAAGACGTTGGATGCAGAATACAATTAAATGTTTGTAAATTTGTTAAAATTTTCTTATTTATAAGAATTTTTAAATTATTTAATGTGTTTTCCATTCTCTGCTTTGATTTTTGTGTTTTCCATATATTATCTAATCCGATTTTATTATTTTTCCTTCTCGTAAAATAAATATGGGCATCACTGTCTTAACCTGCAACAAAAAATGTAAACAAAACATAAATTGAAAAACAACGGCAAAAATCAACAACATAAAACAAAAATAACATGAAATGTTAAAAAAAACTGCACTATGTAGTCATACTCTTCACACACACACACACACACACACTTAATAAAAAGAAAACAACTAATATTTTTGTCTCACTTACCTTTTGACAGACACTGTAATATGGTGGGTTGATGATATATTTCTGCAGCCATAATCAAAACAAAACAACAACATAAAGAAAACAAACAGGCAGCAGCAGCATCATAGCATTATGTTAGTAAAAAACAGCAGCTTAAAATATAAAGAGCGTGAGAGAAAAATACAAGATTATAAAAATGGGAAAGGAAATATGTTTTTAGGCTAGGAGTGGGGTTAGGAAAGGGGGGTTTTATATAAATAACCAAAAACAATAGCCTAAACTAGCAAATGTAGTCGAGTGACATTCCTAAGCACCTTTAGATCTGAAAAAAAAAACTTTAAATTTGTTGTTTTTTTTTCTAAGCCAAGTTAGAAAAACTAACAATTAATTTGTGAGTGTATGCGAGAGTTAACCTACAGCAACTCTAAACAATTACCAGTTGTTATTGTTGCTATATTGTTTTATTTTACTATATATAATACACAAGGCCGTTGGTTTCAAAAGAAACAACAACCACTGTAAAAATGAAAAACAATAATAGCAAAAAACAACAACTATTGGATTTATAAGGAAAATTGTAACATCAAGTTTGTGTTTGTTTTTTATTAAGTTGTTTGTTTATTGTAAGTAGTTTAGCCAATTAATTTAATTTTTTAAACATTTCTGTAGTAAACAAATTAACTTAAATGAATTTGAAAATTGACTTAAGTAATGCTATAGTTACTTTACTGTCTCAATTACTGGGTCTTTCCTTTCATGACTTTCGGTTTGCTTAAGTGTTTATTTTATAAAGCCTATTTTGAGGCTTAATAATTTTGAAAAATAGGTTATAAATTATGTTTCTTGACAGACATATACATATGTAATAATGTGTCTTTGCTAGGTTTAAATCTAAATTTGTCGTAAAGTGTAGTATATTTTTAGACTGTTTCATTTTTGCAATAACTTGCATATTTTAGGGTGCCTCTGTAATTCGTTTAAGCCTTTTTTATATTATTTCTGTTGTTTTGTTAATAGCGAAAAAAATTATCACAAAATATTGTCAAGTGCTATTTGTTTTTGCATTTTTTATGTTATTTTTATATTTTTTTTTGCGATAGTAAGTAAATATTTTTGGGGTGTTTTTTTTTTAAATTTTTATAGTTGTTTATATGTTCTGGTTTAGTTAAGTTTTTTTATTTTTGCGAAATCAAAAACAATTTTTGTTAAAAAATAGTTTATTTTTGAAATAACTACATAGCAACAGTTTTGTTGATTGGCAAAAATATTAATATTAATTGGTTTTTTTTGCAAAGATTAAAAAAAAAACTAATAAACAAATATTTGGAAAACAAATTTAAGTAAACAAATAAAAAGATAACTATGAAAAATTTTAAAGTTTTTAAAGATTTGTAACAAAATTACTTAAAACTTAAAAAATTTTAGATAAAACTGTATTTTAAAGACTTAATTTTAGTTTTTTTTAATTTTTTGTTAATTAGTTTACAATTGTTTTTTTATTTCTTAATAATAATCTGTTTAATATACTCTTGACATATTTACCATTAAAACATAATTATTTCAAAACTAAAAATACTTTAAAGCAAATAATTTTTTTGTTAAAGTTCAATGAACTTTTCTATGAAATATAATAAAACAAACAATGTAAACTTATTAATAAAAACAAAACACATAAATAATTATGAAAAATATCTTTAAAATACTTTTAAAAGTATTGGCTCTTTAATGTCTAGTCTACACAAAAAGTAAAGGGGAAGTGTTAGAATTTTAGGAATTTTTAATTAGTAAAACTGGTTGTTTTTAGGAAAACAAAATTATAATAAATAAGACGCTTTAAAGTCTAACAAAAACAGTTCTTAAAAATTTAGCTTTAGTTTTGTTATCGGTTTTATTTTTAAACAAACCCTTTAATGTTAGTTTTTTGTTTTTGCAAATTATCCTAAATAAACCCGTTAAATTTTCTGTTAATTAAAACTTTTTTCTGTCCAATTTTGTAAAAAAGTTTAATAATACTTCAAAATTTTTTATTAAGCCATTAATCTTTAATACAGTTCTCTGTTTCTCTATGTGTAGGGGTTTCTACTAAATATGACTCTAACATTTAAATGTTATTTATAGTCTTTCTTTTTGTCTAATTTTGTATTTTCTTAAAAATAAATACTTTATCTAAATTATTGTTTATATTATTCTACTGCTAAGTTAGGCCTTAAAAAATTAATTTATTTTTAGCTTCTATTATTTATATTTATATTTTTTAAAAAAGTAAAAAAAAGGTTGTTAAACTGTTTAATTTTTGTTTTTATTTTGTTAATAAATATTATATAAACATAACCTTGAACTGTTTTTTTTTTTTTTAATAGAAATCTTCAACAAATGGAAAAATTTATATTGAACATACATACATATGTACACATACATTTTTTATTTGTTTGTTTTGTTTTTATTTTTGTATTTTTGCAGACATTTGTTTTACAAAAACAAAAGCTTTTTTGTAAAAGTAAACAAATATATTATTGAACTTAAGCAATAACGTCAAAAACCAAAAAGGTTTTTAATTACACTTGTTGCTGCTAAAAATAGCAAAATAAATTATTGCTATTTAAGCAGAAAATATGTTTGCCTTAAGGCACACTTTTGCTTAAACGAATAAAATTAAAATTTAAATAATTAATTAAATATATTGACAAAATATTTAAATATAAAGCAAACTTATTAAAAAATTTCTTCTTTTTCCATCTCTTTGCAGTTAAAGTCTGTGAAAAACGCCAAATTTTACGCGAACACAAACAGGAGTATATACGCCGTGAACGTGAAGTCATGCATATGATGACAAATGTACCCGGCTTTGTTAATCTCTCTTGCACCTTCCAAGATGCACGTTCTTTGTATTTTGTTATGACCTATGCCAAAAATGGTGATCTATTGCCGTATATTAATAAAGTTGGTTCCTTTGATGTTGACTCAACACGCCACTATGCTGCCGAATTAGTATTAGCCTGCGAACAAATGCATCGACGCAATATTGTGCATCGTGATTTGAAACCGGAAAATATATTACTAGATGAAGATATGCATACCCTGATAGCGGACTTTGGTTCGGTGAAAATCTTAACGGCAGAAGAAAGACAACAGGCAAATGCCTTTTTATTGGCCGGTGGTATAGATTTATCGAAAAAGTCTCGCAGCCAATCGGGCGGTAGTATTGGTGGTGGTTTGGTTAATAGCGATTATGATGATGTTTTGGATAGTCAAGATGATGAGGATAATGATTCTTCAAACTCCTCAAATGATACGGGTAGTGGTGGTGATGAAGTGGATTCACCGCGTGCCAGAAGACAACAGCCACGTTATCATCGCAAGAGACGTGGCAGTTTTGTGGGCACTGCCCAATATGTTTCCCCCGAAGTTTTGCAAAATTCTCCTATTACCCCCTCAGCTGATCTGTGGGCTTTGGGTTGTATTATCTATCAAATGATGTCCGGCCTACCGCCCTTCCGTGGAGCCAATGATTATGTCATCTTCAAAGAGATAATAGCCTGTAATTTAGATTTTCCCCAGGGTTTCGATAAAGATGCCGAGGATCTAGTCAAGAAATTATTAAAACTTAATCCAGCCGAAAGATTGGGTGCCCAAGACTTTAGTGGACGCTATGAAAGCATACGTTCTCATCCCTTCTTTAAGAATATAGATTTTGATGCCGTAAGACAGCAAACACCTCCCCCCATATCACCCTTTTTGCCTGATCTTATTAAAGAAGAGGAAGAGTTTAAAATCTGTGAAAATTTAGAACCCGGTTTAGATGAAAAACAAATGACCCGCCTATTGGGCATGGAATTGGGTTGTATCAGTGATGATGATGTTAGCGATAAGAAAAAGACTGTAAACAATAAAACCCCCAAAACGGTAACAAGATCATCCAACTCCTGTTCCTCCAATTCATCTAATAGCACACAAAAATCTGCCAAGAGTAAGTTTTTTTCATAAATTTATATTTTTCTTAAGTTACTAATAGGTTTTTCTGCTTTCTGTTATTTTTCACTTTGCAGATAGTTTTGATTTAACGGATGCCGAAAAGCATAAACGTTTGGAATTGCAAAAAACAGATAAATGGCATCCCTTTGCCGAGGGTGAGGTCATTTTGAAAAAGGGTTTCATTAACAAACGCAAAGGCTTATTCGCACGCCGACGCATGTTTTTGCTAACCACTGGTCCCCGTTTGATTTATATTGATCCTGTGCAAATGGTTAAAAAGGGTGAAATACCCTGGAGCCCTGAACTAAGAGCTGAAGCCAAAAATTTCAAAATCTTTTTTGTTCATACGGTAAGTTCTCTTGAAATGAAATCAATTTAATTAAATTAAATTTCTAAAGCTTATTTTTCAAATACACAAAGGACTTTAGTTTATTATTGTTAAGATTTCCCTACAAGAAGAAAAAAAAACACGCAAACTTACGTCATATTTGGTAATACAATACAATGTTTGTCGTCATCAAACCAATGGTCAGGGTAAAACAGAAAAAGCCTAGAGTGTGCTATAGGAGGGGAGGCAAGTAAATGGTAGGCAAGTTTTAGCTAAATGGCGTGTGTTTTTGAATTGCTAGGAAAAACAGCAGGGTGGTGGGTGAAAGTTAGTTTACACGAGTTATAGTTTTTATTGATAGTTGTGCGATTTTTATGAGAGCACGTGTATGCTATTTTGTTTTTATTTAATTCTTCTTCTAGTTCTTTTAGTTTATGTTTATTAATTTTGGAAAACTACGGAAGTATTTGTTTTTTTTTTTACGATTGTAGTTTTACTATTGGAGCATTTCTTCATTTGATGAGTAATAAGTGTGTTTCGTTGCGGGGGAAAGAGTGAGTATAACCAAATAAATAGTGGTTTTGCAAATAAAAGTTCAATAAACCATGTTTTTTTTGCGTTACAGTATTCCCTCTTTCCCCACTAGCACCTTAACTAAATTATTAATTTTATAATAAAAAAAAAAAACAAGCAAATGAAGGTCATGAAATAAAATTTCAAAACAAAATATTTGATTTCTCTCTATAAATAGTTAAAAGAAAGATAAACAAAATAATATTATAACAAAATTAGATTTATGAATTATTAATTGGAAAATATTTTTTAATGTTTTGTTTTTTTCATAACAAATAAGGGGAACACAAGCATGACCGTTAGCAGGGGTCTTAGGAAATAAAGTTTTTGTTGTTGAAAAAAAAAGAAGAAAATTTTAGAAAGCTTTTTTATGAAAATTTCCATTATATACTGTGCTATATACTTGTCTACAGTCTGGTATTTAATCAAGATTAAATATTGTTTCCAATCTTTTGATTTTACTGTTGCCTACAGAGAATCTACTTTTGGTTGTTTTGAAAAATTCGCTAAAAATGCAAAATAAATTGCATTACATGGCTTGCATCTATAATAATTGCAAATAATCTTATCAATGACATTTTTATTTACAATTATTTATTAATATTTTCCCTCTCTCATTCGCTCTTAAATATAAAAGGTACTGTATTAAATTTAACATTTAACCTTCATCACCTTTTTTCAAATTATTATGGGATTTTATTATTTATTATACGAAAAATAAAATTAAATAAGAATTAAACAGCATAAAGCACCGGCAGGCGCCTGTTGAAATAATTGCATTTTATAATAAAAATTTATAAGATTTCTTATCGCGCCACCAAAACGTCGCCAATTGTGTTTGTGAACTCTACCCAAAAACAAAAAGACAACAAACAGCAAAATACCCACAAGATTAAACAGTTAAAAGAAAAAAATGTATTCAGTTGTGTTTAAGGTTTTAACAATATGTTTTCAAAGTCTTTGAAAAGCTAAACATAAAGTTTTAGTAAAACCCCAAAACTAGGCTTTAGTTAACTATTTATAGAAAACCCTAAACTAGGCTTTTGTTGACATATCTCTAACAACTTTATATACTGCTTCTCTATCTTCTTTTTTATATATCTTTTGTTTGCCTACCTTTTCAACTTTCTATTTTTAGTTTTTGTTTTCTATTCTCTGCAGATTATATGAAACTAATTTTAGAACCTGTTAAAATTATTTTATAACCTTTAATTCCAGTTTTGTCTTTTTTCTACTCTGAAAGTGAAATTAGTTTATTAATAAATGTTTAAGGAATTTGTGTTCTTGTTTTTACTTTTTTTTTGCACTTATTATCTGTTGTTAATTTATTATTCTTTTCATTATTTTTATTTATTTAACAAACTGCAAGTTTGTTGCTCATTATTGTGTGGCTTGTTTATTGATAGTAAAATTATTATTAAAATATTTGTATTAGTTGTTGTTGCTAGGTTTATATAGAGTTTTATTGTTTATTTTATTCTAGAACTCGTGTGTTTGCAAGACTACACGTGCAACACATTTATTTTTTTTTTTTTTTTTTCAATGGCCATGAATTTTAAATAAAACTGCAAATTGCAATAAAAATTTATCAAGAAAAAATACAAATTAAATAAACAACTTGTGACGAAACGAAACAAATTATTGAGAGGTTAGAGAGCCAGACTGTGACTATAGGTAGATGTTGTGCTGTAAGAAGGGTCGATATTTAATCTGTAGTTGAGAATAAAGAATAGTTTATAGTTTGAACTAAACAATAGACTATACTAGACCATAGACTAGACTATAGACTAGAGTATAGACTAGAGTATAGACTAGACTATAGACTAGAGTATAGACTAGACTATAGACTAGACTATAGACTAGACTATAGACTAGACTATAGACTAGACTATAGACTAGACTATAGACTAGACTATAGACTAGACTATAGACTAGACTATAGACTAGACTATAGACTACACTATAGACTAGACTATAGACTAGACTATAGACTAGACTATAGACTAGACTATAGACTAGACTATAGACTAGACTATAGACTAGACTATAGACTAGACTATAGACTAGCCTATAGACTAGCCTATAGACTAGACTATAGACTAGACTATAGACTAGACTATAGACTAGACTATAGACTAGACTATAGACTAGACTATAGACTAGACTATAGACTAGACTATAGACTAGACTATAGACTAGACTATAGACTAGACTATAGACTAGACTATAGACTAGACTATAGACTAGACTATAGACTAGACTATAGACTAGACTATAGACTAGACTATAGACTAGACTAGACTATAGACTAGACTATAGACTAGACTATAGACTAGACTATAGACTAGACTATAGACTAGACTATAGACTAGACTATAGACTAGACTATAGACTAGACTATAGACTAGACTATAGACTAGACTATAGACTAGACTATAGACTAGACTATAGACTAGACTATAGACTAGACTATAGACTAGACTATAGACTAGACTATAGACTAGACTATAGACTAGACTATAGACTAGACTATAGACTAGACTAGACTATAGACTAGACTATAGACTAGACTATAGACTAGACTATAGACTAGACTATAGACTAGACTATAGACTAGACTATAGACTAGACTAGACTAGACTAGACTATAGACTAGACTATAGACTAGACTATAGACTAGACTATAGACTAGACTATAGACTAGACTATAGACTAGACTATAGACTAGACTATAGACTAGACTATAGACTAGACTATAGACTAGACTATAGACTAGACTATAGACTAGACTATAGACTAGACTATAGACTAGACTATAGACTAGACTATAGACTAGACTATAGACTAGACTATAGACTAGACTATAGACTAGACTATAGACTAGACTATAGACTAGACTATAGACTAGACTATAGACTAGACTATAGACTAGACTATAGACTAGACTATAGACTAGACTATAGACTAGACTATAGACAACTCTATAGACTAGACTATAGACTAGATTTAGACTACACTATAGAATTGACAATAGACTATTATTGTTTATTTTTTATTCATTTCTTTTTTCGTGACAACCTTTTTTTAATTTACCCCATTTTCCATTTTATAATTTTAGCCAAATCGTACCTATTATTTGGATGATCCCGAAGGTTTTGGTCTCGAATGGGTGGCAGCTATTGAAAAAATGCACACCCTAACCTATCGCGAACAAATCAATACCTCAACATCAAATATGGCTGTAACAGCCGGCCAACAACAAACACCAAACTCCAATAGAACGGCAATTCAAACATCCTGCTCTCCCTCAATAACAAAAACTTCCTCAGCCATATCCGCGTCATCCTCAACAACATCATCAACATCAAGAACAAATACGCCGCATAAAACATCTTCGCTATTGGCCAAACCCATAACGCTGTTAAAAACGGCTTCAAATTAAGCAAATAATGAAGAACACAGGAGCGAAATCCAATCATTTTTACAAAATGCAAAACGATAAGCAATGGATGTTGAAACAAACAAACAAATAAAACATAAAAAGTGTAAAAGAAATTTAGCAAAAAAAAAAAAAATAGTAAAAAGCAAAAAACCACAAAAACCCTTAAAAATCCATATAGAAAAATTATTTAAATTTAAATTTTTATTTAGAACAAATTTAGTTCAAAACACAAAATCATCATTATCATTAATAAACCACAAAAAAAATGAAAATAAAATAAACTACTTTAAAGAAAACTAAAAAATATTTAGAATAATTCATAAAAAATAAATAATTTATTTACACTTTACTACATTTATAAGTTTGGTAATAATAATAATAAAAAAAAAACATTAAACTAATTATAATAATAAGAAACCTAAAAATTATATTATTATTATTATTACTTTACGTTTAGATAGTCTCAATTGAAATATAAAATTAATTAATAAATTTAAATATTAAATAAATAAAAAACCAAGTAATTATACTTATAATAATATTATACAAATCTAGAAGTATTTAAACAGAAATTAAATTTAATATTATTAAAAATAAAAAGCTAGAGAAAGTAAAACTAAATAATAAAATTAATAATAATAATAAAAAATTTAAACTAAATTTTAAGCAATTTAGTGAAAATTTAGCAAAAAAAAACAAAATAAACTAAAAACTATTGAAAGAAATTTACATAAAATACATTAGTTATTTAAACAAACAACAGCAACATCTACAACAACAACTACTACTACTACTATTAGCATAATAATTAAATATTTAAAAAATAAACTACCACATACATTATTAAACTAAGACAATTGTAGTTATTAACAAAAAGAGAGAAAAAAACAAATATTTAAAAACATGTTCTGTTAAAAAAAAAATCTTTTTTGTTTTTAGTTTTCTTTTTCTCAAAAAAAAACATTGTAAAAAAATTTACCTACTTTAACTTAATTAATTAATATAAATTATAAAACTTTAAATATAAAACATAAAACAGCAAACAAACAAATATAAAAAAACAACAACAACAATGCATATACTATTTAATTATAATTAATTTAAACTAATTTATAATTATCTCTTATATAAAACATATACTTATTAAACTAATTTATTTAATTTATAATTAATTTAATTTAAAACAATACCAACAATAACAACCACTACACAAAGCAAAAACATTAAAAAAATGTGAAAATAATAACAATTACTCAATCTTGGTAATTTGTCAAATTTCAAAAATTTCAACATAAAATTATACTTTTATAAAAAAAAAAAAACATTTTAATATTAATTAACAGCTGTGTTTTTTTTTTACTAAATAACAAACACACTCTGTTTTTTTTCTGAATTTAAGTGAATTTATTTAATATTATTTTCTTTTGTTTTTTAAATTATTTTTAAATCTTATTTTTTTTTTATTTTTTATGTTTTTTTTCTCTTATTATTTTTCTTGGTTGAGTAGTTTTATTTAAGTTTACTTTAAACAAAAGACTTTATTTAAATTTGAAATATTAATTATTATTATTATATTAAAGAAAAATTGTATAAAACTTTAAAACTATTGTTATTTATCGCAAAACAAAAAAAAAAACACACACACAAACACTACATGTATGTCATTTAAAAAGGTCTTAAGACTTTTTTTTTCTAAATTAAAAAAAAAAAATCAGCTAAAAAATCATTTAAAAAAAACCTTATTAAATAAAATATTTTTTTAAAAAAACATTCAAAACACACTTCTTTTTTGTTATGATTTATTTATTTAATTCATTTTGTTTTTTGGTTTGAACATTTTGAGATTTAAAAAAGTTTGGTTAGAAAACCAACTGTTTTATTTGTTGACTTACAAAGGATGTTTGGAAAGAATTTGGAATCTGTTTCAAATCAACTAGTTCTAGAACTGCAATATAAAAGAAGTCAGAGCGAGTCTCAAGCGGTTGTATAAAGATAACAAATGTGGCTCACTTACTTAAGAAACCAACTGCATACTTAATCGAGTAAAATTAATCGAACAAGAAATCTTCCTCTGTTCTGCAATTCAATTCCGAAAGATTTTGTTTCCGTTTAGAAACTTCGATATGCTGCCTTTCGATTCTACGCTCCGTCACTACAATAACAACATACAGAAACGTAGCAACGATCATTGTGTAATGATAACAAATGTGGGTCACTTGCTCAAGAAACCAACCGCATACTTGATCGAGAACAATTGATCGAATAAGAAATCTTCCCCTGTTCTGAAACTTCGATATTCTGCCTTTCGATTTTACACTCTGTCACTAAAATAACAACTTACAGAAACGTAGCAACGGTCGTAAAGTATTGAAACGAAATTTAACTGTCTTTATTACGATTCCATTGTTTTACTGATTGTGGAGACGTAATAGAAATGCAGAATACAATATCGAAATGTGTTTTCGATTAGAAAACTTATTCGATTACGCATGAGGTAATTCGGTTTCAGAATGATGTCTAGCAGACAACGTAGATATCATCAGCTGGCTAGACATCAGCAGCCACCTCACTTCTACCACCAAAATTTAATGAAAAACTCCCCTCGATACAATTACTTAGACATTCTTTCGGTTTTATATTAGAGACCTCTAATACATCATCCCATCTGCCAACGACCGATTGTCAACGCACAGAAGACATTGCACTCAATTAGTGGTCATACCCACAAGCGATTTCGAAAGGCAGTTAGCCAGGCAAACTCGTTCAATACTACTGGTACAGTTATGAACCGGTTGAAGCAGTATTATCAAATGCTACCTGGAAAGAATTGCTTCAGGCACTCTTAACTGATACCCTGCCTGCCTCCGAAGTCTTCACGACACAGTCACCCCTATCGCCAATCAACATTTCACCTGAAATATGTTCCCTTTACACTTTTTCTTACTTTTTTGTCGTGAATAAAATTCGCCCTGTTGCGAAATTTGTTGATGGAATTTTGTAAACATTGAACAGCTGTTGCATACAAAATCAACTATTGTCATTGAATTGTTCACAACAACAAGTTCACGTTAGCAATTTTCCCTTCGAGGGGAATGAAAATTTCAAGGGAACAAAAATTTTACTTCTACTGGCGATAGGGGCGAGTATATTTCTTCAATTGTACCAGTAGGACCACCAATTTAAACGAACTCCTTCAGTACTCACTATTACCACATGATTTAAACAAACATTAATAAAGGGAAGGGAGCTTTCGACAGCAGTGAAACTGACAACAACATCGTTAGATTCTAAAGTAGCTGTCATTGGACTAACGATGTCTAGCCGTAACTTCTGAAACGTTTCCTAGAATTTTGGATGTTATGAAAAAGATTTCTATTGCTGCTCACAATTTCGAACAAAGAACTAGATCTAGAACTGTCCAGCAGAGGTTAAAATCTACTGATGTAGTACTAGCTCCGTAAACGACTATTTTGATAAAAAATCATTGAATAAAGAACTTCCCCCAGAATCGTTTTTAAAATAAATGAAGCGACAAAAACTCTTTTATGGATTATTTAAGACTCAATTTCTATAGTCATGCATGTGTTCCAGAACTAGTTGGGGAAATAATCCCAATATATCCCCGATATTACACATTTTATTGAAAACAAAAACTGAAATAACATTGGAGATCTTAAACTGAACTGAAGCTGAGAGAAACACTAGACCTTTCACAATAACATTCATGTTTGACGATAGGAATACTGTATAGCCAATGGCGTTTCATTCTACCCGATCTCACATTTTCAATTTATATTCTAAAGCAACTGTACAAGAAATTTATCAAATCACAATCATAGAGAAGTTTTAATTGAACAGATTTTCAGCTTTAGTTTAAGATATCTCGCAGAAGGTAGAAGATATAACAAAGGTTAAACCATTAATTTATAGCCGACAGGTTGGACTTTCAGATGATATAATAAACTTTATAAAACAAGATGTCTTCGTCCTGTTATAAGGTCCCAATTATGAGACGGTATGAATTGAAATTGTGAGACCAGTTCGGATTCAGCTCAATTCTTTAGAAATGTACATTTAGGTCTTTGAGTTCCAACTTTTTTTCAAATTTCCTAAATATTTATGGCAAAATCTTTCAATAATTTTAAGAAAACAACTAAGATTTTGTAAAATAATTTAATATGATTTTTCTTTTCAACTAATAACAACTATCAACATAAGACTTGTAGAAAAATAAATCAATTTAATTTTCTTAATATAAAAAAATTAATTTAAAAATGTAAAAAAATTATATGTAAAAAATTCAACAATAATATTTAAGTATTTTTTAGTTCAGTTATATTTTAAGTAATTATTCTAAATTTCCATTTTCTTTAACTAATGTTCACAAAATTAAAACATTCGTATACTTGATCTTATAAAGCGCATCATTATTATTAACAAACAAAAAAAAAATTAGTAAAATCTAAATTAAAAACTAAATTAAGTATAAATTTAAAATTATAGAAAAAAAAATCCCGTATTTTTAAGAAGAAAAAGATTAAAAAAAATATTTTTAAAGAAAATTCTAAAACAAATGAAAATTTATTATTGTTTTTAATTGGCCTCATATTGGAAGAAGAAAATCTAAAAAAGGTTTGTTTATAGTTTTTACTAAATTTACTTTTTAATTATTTTTAAACTTTAATTATAAAAAGATCAAAATTGAAAGGAAGAGGAAGGATTGTATATTTTTTAACATTTAAACCTATAGAGCTATTGCCAGGAACCTGGTTTCTAGAAAACTCTTTAAAAGAAAGTTGAAATCGGAGTAATGTTTCAGAAAACAGATTCTAGAAGTAATGATGGTGTCTGTCTCTAGTTCTAAGGTTGCTATTGAAGAAGTTAAAATCGTTTTAGACACAGTTTTTTATTTAAATTATGTTTGAAATATAAAATAAGAAAGAACATTTCGTTAGGATTTAGAGAACAGACCTTGGAAAGTCTAAGGGCCTTATCTTTTCATGATTAAGCACAAATGGATCTCAAAAAGGAAAAATCACGATCAAACTTTCATGTGTTTTTAAAGATTCTTGGAAGATTATACATAATATAAAAGAGAAGGGCGCTTTTTATAGAAAATAGAGACGACTGCAGGTTTTGAGCAAAAAAGCGATTTTGGAA